GTTTCCCTTTCCACCATTTGATTGATGCATCACTTGCATTCAATGACAAGGTGCGGAAAGGTTCCTGGATGTTGTTTGCCAGCCGGCGAAGAGCATAGCACAAGGTGAGACCTCCATCGTTGGATCTCAGCAGTTTGGTTTGTTCAAACCTGGCCTTTGTGCTGGACCCTAAAGCGTGGATGATGGTCCAAAGTTCGAGCCGGTTTTGAAACCGTTCTGATGTCAGGATTTGACGAAACAGGGTTGGAGTGAACTTGTGTTTGGCGCGTCGCCAGAGCGTGGCTAGACCAAACAGAGCCTTGGTGTTCAAGGCAGGTTTTTTGAGGATGAGTCGTGGTTGCCATTCCTGGATGATGGCCATTTCGAGGCTGCGGTAGTCTGCTCTCTCAGTGTATATTGGGATGGGAGCCCAAATATACAAGTTGTCATGTTCGCGCCAGTAGCGCAGGGCGAGTTCTGCTTGTACAAGTCGTTCGTTGGTGGGTTGAAGATACTTTCTGGAGCGACTGCACTCCCTGTCCAGGGTATGATGCATGGCAGATCCAATGTCATATTCATAATGTGGGTGAAATGGATGTAGACGCTTTGAGACTGGAAAAATTGTCTTGAAAAGAGATTGTGGGAATGAAGCGTTGATCCCCACAGGTGTGTGAGATCCGTGCATCCTTCCAAAATTGACTTCAGCTTCTGATTTGGTGGAAGACCATGGATGACGGCAAGCACCATCATGCGAGTTTGGATGATGCGGAAGCCGTGAAAAAGGTGGATGCTGAAGGTCATGGTGAATGAAGGGTGTCAAAATGTAGATGATGAGGATCATCGAATGGAGAATCTGAAGATGGGATTGAAGCGCTTTGTGCTTGAGCTTTCTGCGAAACTGTGGAGCTAGTCAATTGGTAAGGCTGATGGCCGCAGTCATGGCTCGTAGGAGATTGAGCACATCATAGTTTTTGCCCAGGAGGGCAACTGGAATGCCCATCATGACTGCCACTCGTTCCACAGTTTCCAGGGCCTCCGAAGGCTGATGTGACCACCAAGTTTCGGTTTTGGCAATGTTGTCAGTCAGAACCTTTCGCTTCGGGTCCGACAGTGGGAGTTCTTTGAGCCATTTGTTAAAAAAGGTCGTACAGCCAAAGTGGTTGGCATGTGTTGGGCTAGCCATGGATTGACCGTGGAAGGGCAGACCAAGAGGCTGGAAGGATCAAATGCCGGTGTTGGAGGAGGTGGTGTAGGACCCGTTGAATTGTTCATGAGGGCCCTTTGGATTGGTGTGGTCGAAGGGCTGGATGCCGAAGGACCCGTCCTGGGAGGTGTGGACGTGTCACCAGTGTCTTCACCCGCTCGTTGGTGCAATTCTGCCAATTGATTTCTGAGTTGGTGATTTCATGTTGGGTGTCTGGATCGGTGGTGCGGGCTGGTACCCAACTATGGATGATGTCTGCGATTTGTTGGGCTGCGTATTTGGTATTGTTGGTCTTGTCCATCAATTTCCCATCCTGCCTGGCTTTGCTATGTGAGACACGGTCCAGGTCGACTCCACGGGTTCTGAGCTGTGTCAAGAGCTCCGTTATGAAGACTACCGTTGCGATGTCTGCTGTAGGGATCAGGTAAACTTCACGACCATGAGCCAGCTTTCGAAGCCAGAAGTTGTTGGTTTGTTGATACATCAAGGCTGCCAACGGCAGAGACAGCGGATCACACCCTTCGATGTCAAGCTTTTGAGTAAAGGCTGATTGACGAATAGTTCGAGGGAGAGTCAAGCCGTTGATCTTCTGATTGTCGTAGTGATCTTTATCTTCCTGCCAGTGTGGGTTGAGGTCGAACCCATAGGTCGGCTGATTGGTTACCCACTGAGGTCGAAACTGAGGTCTTGGCATGGTCTGAAAGTGCGAGATTGACGAGTTCATAGGTCCACGCCATCTCGGGAAGAATGCCTGGACGAGGAGCATGAGCTTGTCCCCGTGGTTCATGGCGGTTTCGCCCAGGCGCCGGTGATCGAGAGCGGTCAGAGTCGGCCATGGAGTAACAAGTTCGAAATTCAAATTGGGGAATTGAGAATAAAAGAGTTCTACAGAAGGAGGTGTACTACAAATGAATTAAGGCAATGAAAGCAGAGGCAAGGAACCAAAAGAGAAAAGACACACTGCATTGACCAAGTAACAAGCAAGGAATGACATAAATGAAAAGGCAGTGAATGACTGGCATCAAAAACATTGTTCACAAGTGCAGCTGTAACAAGAACTCAGTAAAATGTCGGTGAATCTCAGATTGAGACAGCCGTGCAGTTTTTTCAAGCTTGTCCAGGTTTCCCTAGAAATGTGACAGCCGGTTTCCGGTTGAAAGGAAATTAACCTTAATAATACAAGCCTCTCACTCTCCATGTGGATCTAAGTGTGGTGCTCATTGCGATGTCCTGAGTGAGTTTCCTTAGTTCGGTCATGGATGCCTCGGTACGTGATGTCCTCACTGGACGACTCTCCATCGTTGACATTCATTGGCAAGTTCTGCCATTTCAGGGCAATGTATTTCAGCCCAACATGATTGCTATGGGCAATCCTGTATTTCTCCGAGGTGGTGGCCACCCCTTTGTCAGCTACTGGACAGCTGTGCCATTTCATTGCCACCAGCTTTAAAGGCAGTGTGAGTGCATGCCCCACAAGACATCGCCCTCACAATCACGTCTTGTTGTCCTTTCCCTTTCTTCTGAATAGTGTCCATCAATTCTTTCGTTGCCCAATCAGGATGGTATCGCTTTGTCCAATCTCCCTGCCAAATGGATCGCTTTTTTGGTGACCTCCGAGGGAATGCCGCGGTCGACCCGTTGCAGAAGGTTCACAGCACTTTGGAACTCGTCTATGCTGACGGTCTTGGTGGGCGTTGGTCTCTCAGAGAGAGGAACCTCGGATGCTGCTTTCATTCGGTCTGGATGGTTCAGACCGAATTTGACTCCTCGTATCCATTCTGCTTTTGATCCGTCGCGAAGATTGATGAGCATATGTCCAGAAGGGATGGACTCTGACACTTGTGATTGATCATCACCTGAAGGATCAGGCTTTTTCCTTTTTCTTCTTGTGGCGTATGGTTGTGGACTGGGATGTGGAAAATGCTGTAAGTTGTTTGTTACCAGGATCGTGGAAGGTATCGTGGTGGCTGGAGGAATGCCTGGGGTCTTTCCAGGTAGATTGATACTTGGAGGAGGGATTCTTGGAGTAGTTCTTCCACGTGCCCCATGATTGCCACTTGGCGTCGGAGGATTGTTCAGGGTGATATGTATCACCTTGTGGATTGTAGTATTCAGTGGAATGTTGGTTTTTCCACCACGGGGAAGCCTGAAGAGTTGGCATATTGGAGGAGTATTCAGGTGGTTGGTGATACTCCTCAGGTGGTTGTCTGTCGTCTCGTCGTGGTGATGCGGATCTCTGAGAGTAATGGAACTCTCACGCTCTCTGCGAGGAGAGTTGTGACGGTGGTGAGAGTGGCTCCTGGAGTGGGAGCGGTCTCGTGAGGATCTTCTGTACCGCCTGGATGAGCGTCTTCGTCGTGGACTGCGACGGATGGAGGCTGGACGTTTGTCAGGTCTCCGTGTGGGAGATCCATGGTGATGAGAACGGGATCGTCGGGAGGATCGTCGAGAGGATCGTTGGCGAGGTAGTTGGCGTTGTACGGTTGAGGGATGATGGCTGGTGGATAGTACAGGCGCGGCAGTTGGAAGGTGTTGTGGCGGAGTAGACTGGGCTTGAGTCCACTGTGGATTTCATCTGTTGGAGCATCTCATCCGGGTTGAAGGGCGCGGTAGGCCCAGATTGACTGGCTGGAGTGGCCGTAGGTGCCTGTGGATCTGGTGCATCGCATTCTGTTGTTGGAGTGCTGAGATCTGCGCCTGAGCCTGAGCTTGAGACTGTTGCCCCATTGGATCACCTCCACAAAATTGACCCTGAAGTCCCATCGTCTGAGGGTTCCAACCAAAATTCCACATAGAGTCCGGGATGTTGGGAAATCGTCCCGGGAACATGGCGGCAGTGTCAGGATATAAGAATAAATATTCACAACTGATACATCCACATACTCATGCAAAATTTTCCCCTTGTTTCAGGCTCACAGGCCTAAAAGTCACGTCAACCCTGTGGACAGCTTACGTCGTCAACCCTTGAATTACGTGCACAATTGAACCTCACCAACGACCAAAAAAGAAGAGTCACCATACCTGCAAGCATGGCCTGTGCCTGAAATCCTCATGTTGCAATTTTCGGCAACTGAAAATGCTCGAGCAATATAGAAAAAAGAAGGTTGTCGCGGCTGCAGACTACCAGTGACAGTAAGGCGGATCATCTGAAAGAATTGAAGCCACACAGCGGCCAGCTGTTCAACACAAATCACGATCGACAGGTGAAGCACTGGAAAAGGCCAACTGTTGCACTTTACTTAGACGAACTACTACTTCAAAAGTGTAAATTCAGACATCAGGTCGTTGCATCCACATTCTGCATAGAAAAGCATTCCCCGAAGGGTTCATGCCACCTTGACGAATCCAGCATGAATCACACACTTGCTCAGAACAGCATTGCGAATTCTGATGTGGAATGTATCTTACGTGCAAAAAACACTCCAATTAAACCTGACAGGATTTAGTTGATGACCAGAGGCGAGAAAAATCGAAATGGTTCTCTCCAAACAGATTGCGACAGCCGTACAGGCAGTGAAGTGGAATCAAAAGGAAAACTGAAAGTTTGGTTGGAAAACTGTTTGAAAAACGACATGCCGGTTCTGGGCTTGGCCGGTTGCCATTGACGAAAAAAGAAAAATTGGTGCAGGTACGCAGATTGGCGTCCCAATCTGTATCACCAGATCAAATGGGTGTCTTCGTTGGTAGCAGTCCCAAATGATCTGCCGCTATACCCCCTGCAGTATGTTTAGTGCCGACAAAATCAGGAAAAATCGCAAAAAGAAGTTTTACATCTGTTCAGATGGTTCACGCACACACACACACCGCTTCTGGCCGCCTTTCCAAGATTCCACTGGAGCCATGCGGCGTCAGCGGCAAAGCCAAAATGCTCAGCAAGGCCTACGATGCCAGGAGACAAATCGAAACGAACATTTCACCCGAGGTTTTACATCATTTTACATCAGGTCTACACCAGTTTTACATTCATTGCGCAATCTTAGGTACATTCAAAAGTATTTAAAAAGTTCATATTTACTGTCTCCATCTGAAGCACAACAGAGTAAGGTGAAGCATTAATATCCTGACTATCTTAAGTACACCATCACATACACTACCCACCTTACATCTTAAATATCCTGATGGAAACGCACTGTTTCTAATCCCAGTGTAAACATGATGATACCTCATCTCATTTTTGGGTCACAGGCTGCAGGGCCCAGTGAAAGCAGAAACAGCAAGGCTTCGAATGCGTTCACTTCAAAAAGTATGTTTCGAAAACGGACCGATGGTTTGTTTGTGATGATCTGGGTCGTAGCTAGACATAGATCAAATCCATTCCCATTCCTGAAGTGTGCCTTGTCAAACCAATACCCTGCCTATTCATGAAACGTATGACTCAGTATGACCTTCATACTTCTTTCGTCAGTCATTTTGTCGAGGTGCCGGGCCCATCCCCGGTTTGAAGGTGACACGATGTCATGAAGAACTCAAGAACTCAACCAAATCCATTAAACAATCTGCCAGCATCACGGGAAAAGCATCTAAAACGCGACCAGACTCTATCTGATGTGGCTGTATTCTTTGCTCGTGGCCCAAAAAAGGCCCGCCAGAACCATGCACCTGATATGTCTTGGCCAACAAAGGTCCCATGTTCGGGCTGACATTCGAAAAAACCTCGTGCATTCCATTCTCCACCTGAACCAAGCAAAGACATTCAACGACTGCAAGGAACAACATGTTCCAAGAGAATCTGTGTCACGGGTTGTCACGGTGTAATATCGATGTTATAGTTGCTTCGATTTTTCCTTTCAACAATCCCTTGGACCTATATATATATATATATGTGAAATTTATGTTTTTTGCTCACATGAGACGCTACAGTTATAGGTATTTCATTTGCACAGCCAAAATCCTTCCTTCACACGTGAAAACTGCAACTACATGACCCTACTGTGCCTGCCTATTAGGTGGCTGGTTGCCTTCTGTGAATTACAAACATTTATTTGCAGAACAAAGGGACCATCAGAAAAAAACATCCCTTGCAGGTGGGAAGCAATTTCTGACGAATGTTTACTGAGTTTACTGTTTCACTGTCATCTCCTTTAGAATATATGGTTCCGAGCAATAGGTTCTGCACGAATTCCCCCGAAAAATGTCATAGTTTCGGGAGATTTTGGCAAGATTACATGAAAGAATGTGCCTGGGTTCTTGCCATATTGGATACTATCCTCAAAAACTCCGGATATTCTTTCCGGGTAAATTCCGCAAAGATTCCAGGCCGGTGCGTCTAAAATAAATATGGAGGTTCCAGCAGAATCCCGGGGACAAATTGCAAGAACATGTGAACATCCACAAAGGATTCGGGACACTCCCAGAAGTTTTCCGTTAAACATCTTCCGACATGAGAATCATGCCGATGCATAAACAAAATAAAGCAAATCAAGTATAAAGAATCGAACATGTAAGAATTCTGTACAAGATCTGCCCCCGCAATTCTCTACAGATTCCAGGGTCAGCCGTGAACAATCCAAAAGCAGAGATATGAGATTGCTTGCTCGAGGACGCAAAATTTGCAGCAATCATTTAATCCCTGTGAAACGATTTGGGTTCGTACAGTTTTCACAGGGTTGCCTTCTTGATGTCACATAGTACGATATCGTGCATACGTTCTTCACTTCAGGACTAATTAATTTGTTTAGAAGGACTTGTGTTTTGCTGCATGAAACACTCCGTCAAAACAGCAGTCGGATCCAAACCCTTTGCAAAACGCAACACATTCTCATGTGACTCATGTGCTTCTCCAGCCGTTCAAATTGTGTTGGTTTGTATCATGCATACGGATGTGTACACGCGTACTATAAAGTCTGCACTCGTACATGTACCAGCAAGTTGTTCATCTCTGTCTGCTTGTGCATTCTCTATACGCTTACATTGAAATCATAAAACAAAACCACGGGATATCTTGGCCTCAAATTTAAAATAAACCCAACTAGAGCTCCTTCCCTCCTCAGTGATGAACTCGGGCAGTGGAAACTGGAAGCTGCCATCATTCACGGGGACAAATTCTATAGCACTCTGTCCTTGGAAAAAAGACGAACAATGCAAAGAGAACACTGATCTTCAGTTTTTCACATGACAGGAAAAACCAACAAAAAACCATTGAAAAAAATGACAGAGAGAAAGGAACAAAACCATCAAACTGTATCCTGAGGGCCAAGAAGAGCAAACTTGGCCAACTCTGTGGTTCCCCTTTATGTGTGCACCAAAACTGTACCAGTAGAATGCCAATGTCGAACTTCGCGGTTTCTACTGTCATATCCAAATGCGCTTTACAGTGCTCAGCGCAAACCATCAAAATAAAAAAATGTACGCGTCACTTTTCAGTTTCCGTTCGCAATTTACCGTTTGTTGTTTTCCTTTATGCGTCTTTTTCAAACAACCCTGGCTCACGGCTCAAGTAGTTGTTTATTTGGGAGATATCTGAACTCTCCTTATTATTTAAATATTGCTGTGTCTTTTGCGCCCAGTCTCTGCAAGCAAGCAAACAGCGTGCGAAGAAGGCATCGTTGAGAACACCTTTGGTCAACAGGACCAAAACGCAGGAGGCTTTTGTGGCTGCGTAAACATCCTCCACGCTTCGCAAACTGTAAGTAGACCTCCGGAGATATAGCTGCACCATCTGCTGTAGGATCAATCCAGTCGAAACAGCTTCTGGTACCTGAAGAACACACACCAAAATCCGAGAAATTCGTGCTCCCCCGGAACCCGCAGAACTTGGAAGCTTCTGTCCAAGGAGGCCAGGTGAACAACATGAAGATTCAGCAATGATTTGCAGGATCTTCTCCTCCTGTTCTTCCAACGGCCAAGAACGACACAACGCAAAGCTCTTCAACTTGCGAACATGCTTATACGCCGCCTGGCCGAGACTTAGATCGCTTGGATCATGTCAGCCAACACAAGACCAAGGAACCTGGAAACAACATGAAACAACAACAGTCTCAGTTTGGCTGGGCCCTTTGCGTCTCTATTTCTCTAGTTCCCGTGTTGTCATGTTACTGTGCCGTTTCTATGTGCAAGTCTGGTCAGAATTGTCAGCCAGCCACTCGAAGGCAGGAAAAAACAGCGCTGGGCTGGGAGAACTTGAGCATTCTATCGCGAGGCCCATTCATGCACCACATCATTCCACAAATTGTCGTTGACGATGAAGAACATCAACCTGCTTATTATAAATAAGATAGTTAAGACGCCATAATTGCCAACCACAAGAGTCTCACTCATCCTCTCGACCACGAGCAGGGCCATGGTCGAGAAGCACTTGCCAGAAAGGTTGTGCATTCTCCTTCTGAGCCTTGAAGCCCAACCGGCAGCAGAGTGATGCTGCACAAGAACAGCCGAAATCTCCTCCTGAAAACTAGCACTCACACTTCCAGACGCAGCGTCAGCACGCTTGTTGAAAGCACGGCAGTGATTAACACCTGGCATACACCTGGCCAACCTTCAGGTGGCCTCCATTCCTTCTGCTTGCGCGAGGGAATCCATGCACACATAGTTCCAGGTACAATCGGCGTTTGAATTGCGCGCCAGAAACTTAAGCAATCTCTGCTCCACACCCCAAAGTTGATACCACGCTGCAGTCAAAGCACCACAGCCTGATTATCGATGAGCAACCTGACAGGCCTGTTAGCTGCATTGGACGCAAGGCACGCTAAGAGCAGCGCACAGCGTTCACCAGCAGCAGGAGTCTGCTCAAAGCCTGGTACAATGCCTTTGGTCGTGGGGCCGTCATGTGCAACCACGGCCCAACTCGCTCCCTGCCACAACTCATTACCACAAGCTATGACACAGCTACCATCCAGCCCCAGCACGGGCAACATCCCAAGGTCAGATTGTCGCAAAAATTGCACGAGCTCCTTATCCGGCTCCAGTGTTTGTACTGGAATGATACGTGGTGCTCTCACCAAGGGCAGAAGCAATCTTCGCTCCACTGCAGATTTCTGCGCCCATCGCCAAGGGCTGGCACTGCAAAAGAAAGTATGGTGTTCACGCGCGGGGGTAGTTTCTCCACAAAAACATGGGGGGGAACTGCCCAGTCGCTCCGTAACACGCCCGTCCACCGCCGCACCTGCGAGTACCCGATTAGCTGTTGTTGCAAATGTTTGCGTGTAGCAAAGCTAGCCAGCTTTTCCGGGTGGAGTTCCAAACCTAGCACTGCATCAGCCTCCGCAGCTGCGTTCATAGCATTGACAACAGTGTCAACAGACTGCCCTCCTTTTTTCCATATAGCGCCATCGTCCAAGTATATCGCAATACCCGCACGAGGTTCTTGCAGTAAAACAAATCACACCCACACCACCATCCTAGCATTTAAAGGCAAGGGCTGGCAGGGCATCCCTGAAGCAATCCCCTTCGTGCAAATCCTGGGAAAGGGTGAAAACAACCTTGCCACATAAACCACCCGCGCTGTGCATCATAAAAGTTCATCAGCAATTCACACAGTTTAGTGGGCCCCGAAATAGGCCAGGACCATCTTTCCATGTTGAAGTCACCTGCAATCATAGCTTCCTCACCAAGCTCTGCAACCCGGGAAAACAAAGATTCCAGCATGTCTCTTGCGGCAGTAGCATCGCTAGCATGCAAATACACATTAATGAGGAGGAGATGGCGCTGAAATGGTCAGTCTAAACAACCTAATAGCCATCGCGCGTTCAGGAGCAGCAGCACCTGCAAGAATAGGAAAAGACTCAGCAGGCCATGTTGACAAAATGATTGTGCCTCCCATGGTCACCCCCTTGCCATCAGTGCCTTGTGCTCCTGGAAAGAGCTGCCATCCGTGCTTTTTGCAAGCTAAAGAAACAGCACTCCAACTATCTGCGTTGATTCTTGTCTTGCAAGCACAAAGTATTGATATCGTGCTGCTTTGCTAAATCAAACACTCCGGCCAGGCGGGCTCTAAGAGTCTGCACATTCAATGTTCCAACCTTGATTGTGTGGCAGGTGCTCGTCATAAGCAGTCTGCATCGCCTTCTTTGAAGCCCAAAATCTCAAGGGCTCGCACTGCAGCTCGCTGTCTGGATCCTGGCTGCTTCTCGGCATACTTCTCCAGAACAACTTTGTGCCCTTTTCGCAATTGATTCCAAGTGATCTTCCCAGTGCACGCTGCGATGCCACGCTCAGGTAGCACACAGCGCTTGCATTTGAGGCAAGCAAATCTCACCGAAAAATCAACTGGCCAAACACTAGCTTCAAATTGGTGTTCATTTGTCTCAGCAGTGTCAGTTGAGGTTCCGACGCTGGCATCAATGATGTCCAGCACCGTCTCATCTCCTCTTTTCAGCTCAAGACTGATTGCTGGCTGTTTGAGACAACCTCTCAACCTTGCAATGAGCTGTTTACGTTTGGGACCACGGCTAGACGCCATCTGTTCACATGGCATAGAAGCAAGCTTGGGCGCATGCTGCGCCATAGTCCCACATTTTTTGCAAATAGCCTTGGACATTCCCCTCCGTTTCTTCTTCTTCTGCTGCCCAGTGATAGGAATGGTGACAAAGACATGCTCATGGGCGCCTGCATCGCCTTTCTTCAATCCTATAACAATCTACAAGCCATGGCAGCAGCCCTGACGTGGTGGGTGGCCTTAGCCGCATTGGCCACACGCCACTGCTTGCCCGGACTAAGCAATTGCTTGTCAGCTTCCGGGTGGCACGCCTCCCTATGCTTGTCTTCATACGCCAAAGCTGATCCGCAGTCACCCTGGCATCTGCCGGTACACCTAAATTACAAAGAGGGCATTTCCACTTGCACTGAACATCTGGCATAATGGTCTGCAGTTCTGGCCCCGGTTTCAAATTGAGCTGGGTTGCTTCAGCAGGATGCCAAGCAAGAACATGCGCTCTTTTCATCTGGCTCCAATTCTTTCTCACGCCCGATTCCAAATCGCACAACGAGCATTTTCACTCCTTCCTCGTTGCTTTCTTGTTGCTGTGGCTGGCTCCATCCAACTCAGAATCGTCCTGACCATCCACAGTGCTGTCCCCACGACCCAAGGAAGCAGTCGCAGAGTGAGCTTTGCTGCGCCGCTTTGTGCAAGAAGAGCTGGGCAACGGGAACGGGGTCACACTGCGGGCCCGTTTTTGGCCCTTGGAATTTCCAACCGGAGGCGGCGGCAAAGCAGAGATGCGAGTAGCACCGCATGAAAAATAGCCGCTTTCTGATCCACCCCTTCCTCCTTGCATAGGTCTTGGTGCAGCCTGCAGCAACGGCACCTTGCCCTTCCAACATCTCATAATGATTTGCCCGATACCACAGGGCGATTGGATCTCCTGCCGTGCCCTGATTGTTATAAATCTTGGGCACGCCTTTCGGCTGGAAAACAATGACAGCGCGATCAAAATGCACTGCTGCAGCCGCAAGCTCAAGGCTTCCACCCCGCGCACCAAACTTGGACGAAGCACAATTGTCTTCTTGTTGGGTAGGCTCTTTTGGCCCCACCATGCCAAAACCTGTACTTGATTGATTGGCTGATTCACTGCAACCTGCCGGCGCCAAGCATCGTGGATTAACAGTCTAGTGAGCTGGAAAGTTAAAAGCTCTGTCCAAGGACCTGAATCATGAGTCGGCCGACATGATCTGGACTAAGTTCTGGTGGAATTGCAAAGTTAAAGTTACAGTGCGCTGGCGATCACCTACTTGTAGTGCCCAGTGGTGAGCCCGGGGAATTTCATGTTGGCGCGTCAGACTCCAGCTGCCACAGCATCAGCCACTTCATTTAAATGCCTACATTGCTTGCCGGCTGCCAATCGGGCCTTTCGTTGTGGAATGGCACGCATGCCTTCCACTCCAAAAGATTTGAAGTTAGCAACAATAGCTCCAGAATCCAAACAGGCCTGCTTGCAGGCAGCGGACAGCCGCTTGGTTGTCAATCAGGAGCCGAACTGTGCTCCTTCCACGCCGATCCTGCGGCCCATTTCGACTTATGATCGTGGGGCTGCCTGATCCGCTGATCCCTTGATCCGCTGATCGATGCTCCGCTGCTGGTGCCTTCAAGGTCTTTATGGAAGCTCATGGGCAATGTACTGTGCTGTGGGTATGAGATGCGGCCAAGGGACAGTTCCATCTGGAAGCGCGTCCGGATCTGGGTGGGCGCATGATGCGGAGACAGATTTCTACAAGAAAATGCTTAGCAAGTCTTGTCGAAGGAAGCCTTTTTCTAGGCAGCCACGTCGCAGCCTCTGCTACCGTCGCTTCTTGTCTACATATACACACATATATATATAGAGTCACTGCGCGACCAAGCCCATTTCCTGCAGGGAAAAAACAAAGCCAAAGCGATTTGTATGCTTTGTTGGATGGCAGTAGGCAGACAGCCAGGTGAACGTAAACTCACAGACCGATGTTCTGATTTTTCTTGCCTTGCTCACAGAACCTTCAGAGACCCATGCAGATCTGCTTTCACCCCAGTCTAAGACTAAGAGAGTCGAAGTTCGATGCCATTGTCACCTCGCACGCGGTGTTTGACCACTGTCATGTCCTGCAAGGGGTTGCATGTTGAAAGGCTAGGTTTTGGCTCCAACTGTTTCAGCCTCACGGAAGCCCTTTTACGTGATCTAAAACTACCAAAAACCCATGCACATGTTTAAAACGGGTAGGTGGACTTACACTGATGCGCTTTTCTCTGGGCTTCAGCGCGCTCATGTCAGGAGATTGCGTCACTGATTCTCCCTTCTTTCGGCGCTTCGCAGCATGTTTGACGGCAGCTTGCTTTGCTTTCTCCGCTGCCTGCGTCATGGAAACCACCAACTCACGCAGCTTGAGGCCGCACAATGTCATCAAATGGTTGTGGTACTGGGCATGGAGGCCGGGATCATCTGGCCATTCCTTGCAGGCACGGGTGATGACCAATGACGGCCATCCAATTGGTTTTAGGCAGCCCTTTCCAAGCATGTCCGCCACATCCGGCGTCAGTGGGACCCATCGATGTGGAAGAATTCCTGTGAAGGGCAAGACGGAAAGAAGAGCGGAGAGAGTGAGGGAGAAGCAACCGTTGCGGCGGGAGAAAACAAGCTACTAAGACATCTTGCGGCCTTCATGGCGACAGGTGAATACCAACAAACACATAATGACATATAATTTCTTCACGCCAAGGCATGCGGTAACACTGGCCTTGGGTAATCTTCTGGAAGGTCTTCGTGTGGCTGAATGGGGCGGGCACTGCAAATGAGACACCATCAAGTCCTGGCTGCATAGTGACTGCCCGTTTCAGAGAGTTCCATGGGCACATAAGTGGAAGGAGGCATATTCTTCACCACGCCAAGCGAGACGCCATTGCCAGAAGCGTCCCCGTAGCTTCCACTGGTTCTGGCCGCGCGGGCTGCAGACCCAAACTGGAGGAGTTTGTTCTAGGCACTCTGCTGCGGGTTGACCTTGGAGCTGACCTTCAAAAACTTGTTATCCTTCTGCTGACGAAAGCACGAACGCGGTTGGGAAGCCGCAGGTCTCATCCAAGTTGCCCAGAACACCAAACCAGTGGCGGTGCTTCCACATCCCTGGCTCACCTGGGAGGTTGCCGGAATTCTTGCCCTGCTTGAAGTCACTGACTGGCACAAGTGGAACCACTCTTCAGGAGTCGCGCTTGCACTTGCTGCAGACAGCACCACACCTTTCGGCCTGACAGGGCCGATATGTTACGAAATCATGCGTAACACTAAGACTTGCGCTGGTACATTGTTTGAAAAGACACAGCACATGTACAGCATGCAATTCTAGCTGGGAGCCTGCCCCTGTTCTGCCCCCATGGCCTTGCTCACTTGGTTCTGCACAATCTTGTCCAACTCTGGAGTGATGGAATTTGCACAGGCTTGTTGGGAAGATGGACGCCCGTGCTCCATTGGTAAGAGGACACATCAACGACAGCATGTTGATGGGAACTCATGGTGGGATGCCCGCGCTGCCCAAGTCTGACAGACTGGTGCCCAAGCTGGGTCAGCAAGCGGCAAGGGTCCCACAACTTGCCCACCGTATCCCAAATGGATTTCATGGGCTGCCTCTTGCCTGTCACAACTCATGTGTGGAGCAGACACACTGCCCGGTGCACCCAGCCCTGAATGATGTTGGCAACCCCGGATTCATCTGTGAAGTGACGGGGTCAAAAACTGTTCCCCAATCGCGGTGTGCATGGACAGGTGTGCTGCAAAGTTTGGCCCAAAGCAGGCGACCTCAAAGCTCCAGCCAGCAATGAAACACACACGGCACGTCTGTTCTTTGCATGCCAGCTGCTCGTGCCTTGTCCATAGCCATAGCTTCCTGTGTGAAGTCTGCTTGAAAGACTGGCATCAAAGGTTCCAGCAACTCTTCAATGTTCTTGCGTAGGAAGGCGAGGCAGCAAAGGGCTGCCTATAGGTCTTGAGCAAGAGACGCCATTTGAACCAGCCTTCGCTGATCGAAAGTCGCAGTCTTGCAGTGGGGTGAAAGTATGTGAAAGTGTTCTTGCCCACAGGCACGAGGCACGGGCATGCTCCCGACAACATCGCTTTCACCGATGAAACTTGCATGCTGCCGAACTAATCCTGCATGGAATTGTTGAAGCCACGCAATGGAGAAGAAGGATGAAGTAAGCATAAAACATCTGAGTTCATGTGGGCAGCCGGCGAAGATATGCTTTCCTGATCCCACACTGTACGTGTGCCACATAAGCACACTGCACCTTTGACAAGTTCTATTGCGGCACCACTTACTGGAATGTGGTGTTTGGAAATGGTCCCAGCCGCATGCAGAATTACCGCCTGTGTCTTCAAAGAGTCGCACCTGCTGAGCACAGCATTGCGCTCTGAGCAATGTTGCTGAAGAGGTGGCAGATGCAACAAATCAGTTTCGGCTCCAAAATGAAGCAGCGAATAGCCAATTTCGGCTTGCGGTCGCTGAGCAGCTCTGTGGCCAACTTCGGCGGGCACCTGCAAGGCTGGGTCTGCAGATTCTAAGATGGCTGCGAGGCCCGCTAGGCCCGCTAAGCCTTGCTCCATTGCCGATATCACAAACGGAGCTGCAGGAAGGAATGTTAAAGAGAAAGCTTGTGGGTTTGAATAACAGTTGGACCCGTCCATTTCGATTGTACTTGGACCTGGTGCGGTCATTGTTAATGTCAATCTGTGTGAGAACAGAGCTGAGGCTGCAGATAGAACAGAGGACAAAGCATACGGTAAGGCAGTTGCGGTGGCACAGAACCAACATGCACCTGCTTTCTTCTGAGCAAAGGGACGTGCGCGTTGTGTCTTATCGGCAACATGGTTTCATGATCAGGCCTCGGCTGTTGCAGTTGGGCATGAATGAAGCATGCCGTGAGCAGCAAAGCTGAACCTGAAAGGTGCCATGGGCCATGAGTCGAACGGGCTTCGTAACCGTCACTTGCAGTCCTTGACTCAAATGCTCCGTGATAAGGTCCATGCACATCATGCACGTATACCACGGCATGTCGATCCTGCGATCGAAGGAGCCATGCGTGCCTGCGTGGGGCATGATGTGCTGATCCGTGGAGGCAATGATCCGCTGATCCGACGATCTGCTGATCTGCTGATCCGATGATCCGCTGATCCGATGATGGCTGGTTGGGCAGCAGTATGATCATGACTGGCCCATTCAACACATCACCTCACAAAAACCTGTATGTGATCTCAACTTGCAAGAAGCACAAGCAGCATGCATAGCATTACTCGTTTCGTATCTTAATCCCTCAGAGGATTGGCCGGCCATGATCTACCAGTGCGACTTCTTGCTGGTTTGGTCTTCCAGTAAAAGTACCGGTGAATCCACTTGAGTAGTAAGGATACGAGCGCAACCTGGATAATTTCACTTATAATTTACATAAATGTTTGCACAATATGTTGTTTGCTGTATTCCTCCTGATATGTCCTGATCTTGATCCATTTGATCCTTCTCTCTTCGCCAAGGCTTCTGACCTTGATGTCGTCCATGGAGGTGCCGAAAGAGATCAAGGTGGAGCGCTGCTCTTCGGTCCACACGGACTCGATGACATCGATGCTGTCGTGGTCAGGAAACGCGTAGTCGTCGCAGTACAGCGGGATTATAGGCACCTGCTCTTGCGAGGAACTTTTCGCATCTTTTCACACGACTTCTATCGGCTTTCATGACTAGAACGCGGTGTCAGTTGGAAGAAAAATCACGCCAACGCGTTGGTAAAATTTGTAAAATAGCCACGATTGGCCACTTAAGACAACGCTTGACTGCCTATGGGTTGCTGTGAAATCGTGGAAAACGTTGACTTGAAACATCTGGGAAAACTGCAAAACATGCGTTGCAAGATATGGACATGTGATGATCTAGTTTCTGGTCATGAGCACCTGGTACTTGTGGGCAGAAGCTATTTCCAGAGCGCACCACATTCTATTCAGCAGTTCGGCCGTCAGAACGACCACAAGGCACTTGGTGTCTGCACGCACCACATCGAAAATCCGGGCAAGGTCATCAAGTTCATCTGAATCCAAGAAAATGTTCATCTTCACATATTTCTTTGCAACCAACTTGAAGAAACGACACAGGGCACCAGCTCCTGCTTTATGATGACACAGAAACGCTGCATATTTGCTTTGTGGTCGAAGTCTTGCCATCACCACGGCAAGGGCTGCAAACATGGCCACCACAGGTAAGACAATCATCACAATCGACACCAAAATTGCCACAAATGTCAATGTTTCTGCTCGATCGATGTTCAACAAAGGCGATGCCAAGAGAAGCAAAATCAACAAACCTGCAGATAAGGCCAAGTCGTTGTAATTTGCAATGTCAAGTCTCCATGGCCACAATAGAATTTGAACAATGAGTTTCAAACAGATCACAATGCCCATGATTCCAACTTGCAATGCAGGAAAAGACACCAATGCAGCGGGAATAATTCCGACGGTGAGATTGTGTGTACAAAGTATGAGTCCATAATAGTATCGTTCAGGACGGAAGCGAGCAAAAAGAAATCTGTATTGTTCCATCACCTCAATTCCACCTCCTGAGCGTAGCCAGATGGGATATTTTCTTGTGAGGTAGGTGATTGCTGCGAGAATTGTCACTGGATACGCTACTAGTCCAGCTGCAGCAAGAACCACTAACGTCTGGTGCTCTTGACTTTTCCAACATATGATGTTTGGTCTCGAAGCAATTGTGAAGAGCCGGTTGGGGTTGTTCCTGCATTGCAAGGGCCGAACAATGGCGAGTGTCATGGCTGTCAACAAGGCAACAAGTAGAAGCCCATGCACGTTCACAAAAGCAGTGAAGCTCACGGGTGTGCGGGACCAACGCATTGACAACCAAATCAAAAGCGTGACCAGAACCACCACTGGATAGGCTGCGAGCTGAACCACATATTCCAACACAAAGTCTTGAGGTGGTAGAACACAGGAAAAATCCAAATCGAAACTAAAAATTGCTAAGGATTGAAGAATGGCTTTGGCAGGGTCGAGCCATGTGATGTCCATCTGATAGATGGCATCCAAAGCTTGCAAACAAACGACAACTTGTCCGAAGATGATGCTCACCATAAAAATGCTTAGGGCAGCTCGTCGTGCTCTCGTCATGAAAATGCCAGCCGCTAAAGCCAACGGCAAAGCTCCGACGACGACCAGAAGCATCACAATAATGGGCCACAATGACTGTCCTCCACACTTGGCACATGTCCCATCAAATTGGGCTGCAAAGCCGGTGATACAGCTGCCGCATGCACGACCCTCTCGGCCAGTGGCACATGCTCCCACGGCCCCACCAGGGCATTGCAAGGCGTCGCGGCACTGGAAGACGGAGAGAAAATCTGAGCTCTCTCCCCAAACAGCCCAGAAGCCCTTCAGTTGCAGAGCTACGTCATTCTCACATAAAAGGCCAGCAGAGCAGTTCAAACATTTTGTCGCTTCTATGCCAGCATCTATTGAGCCGTTTGTGGTCCGAAGATTGCCTGTTGAGTTTGCTATGGCAGCTACGGTGCCAGCTTCACACACACAGTCCTTGATGTCTCGGGAACCCTGAAGCGTCGTTTGGCCTGGAGCACATTTCTTACAGGATGAGGCACCTGAAAGATCTTGATACTCGCCTGGCACTTCGAGAATGCAGAGTGCATTCAAGGAACAGATCAAACAAATGCTCAAAAGAGTATAACTAGACGACGGTTGGCCCGAGAGCGAAAAAGACGTTTTTCAAGCAGCTCTGGGTATGGTAGACGTAAAAAATAGTTGGTGAATGGTTGGTGAATTTTATATGAGCTATGGAGGGATAAGTTGTGAAAAGTAAGATTGATTAAGAAGAGGATACATGTGACAACCCATGCATATGCACTGTGCTGCTTGGTAAAGGGCATGATATGACACGTGTTTTGCAACTACAGAGAGACATAGATAGGGAGAGAGAAAGAAAGAGGGAGAGAGAGAGAGAGAGAGGGAGAAATAAAGGGAGATAGACAGAAAACATGAAAAATATAAAATGTGAGCAACAAAAGTGCACAGGAGGCTCGGTACCATGATGCTGCGAATGACATGTGTTATCTCATTTTACTATGGCCGGCGCAAGACCATATCCACAGAAGAAAGGCGTCGACAATATTGTTCTGAATGCATCTCTGCATCCACTCCAAAATCGCAATTTTTACCGCAGTTTTTTGACGTCCAACGTCCATTTCGCGCGTAAGGGTTGCGATTGACACCTCAAAATCGCAATTTTACCCTAGTTTTTGACGTCCAACGTCCATTTCGTGCGAAAGGGTTGCGATGGATACCTCAAAATCGCAATTTTACCATTGTTTTTGACGTCCTACGTCCATTACCTCAAAATCGCAATTTTACCTCAATTTTTGACGTCCAACGTCCATTTCGTGCGAAAGGGTTGCGGCGGACTAACTGAAATCGCAATTTTACCTAGGTTTTGGACGTCCAACGTCCATTTCGTGCGAAAGGGTTGCGAGGGATATTTCGTACGAAAGGGTTGCGAGGGATACCTCAAAATCGCAATTTTACCTCAATTTTTGACGTCCAACGTCCATTTCGTGCGAAAGGGTTGCGGCGGACTAACTAAAATCGCAATATTACCTAGGTTTTGGACGTCCAACGTCCATTTCGTGCGAAAAGGTTGCGTTTCGTGGCGCTCCGGCGGCACCGCCCCCACCTTAAGAGAGAGATAGAAAGAAGAGCGAGAGAAGATCCGCAGATGTGAAGGTGCGAGGAAGCAGATCCGCAGATGTGAAGGTGTGAAGATGTAGATCTGCAGATGTGAGGGTGTGAAGATGTAGATCAGCAGATGTGAAGGTGTGAAGATGTAGATCTGCAGATGTGAAGGTGTGAAGATGTAGATCTGCAGATGTGAGGGTGTGAAGATGTAGATCAGCAGATGTGAAGGTGTGAAGATGTAGATCAGCAGATGTGAAGGTGTGAAGATGTAGATCTGCAGATGTGAGCGTGTGAAGATGTAGATCAGCAGATGTGAGGGTGTGAAGATGTAGATCAGCAGATGTGAAGGTGTGAAGATATAGGTCAGCAGATGTGAAGGTGTGAAGATGTAGATCAGCAGATGTGAGGGTGTGAAGGTGTAGATCAGCAGATGTGAAGGTGTGAAGATGTAGATCAGCAGATTTGAGGGTGTGAAGATGTATTACAACGGCTGCTTTTTTTTACGAAGAACCCTTCGCAGGCGCTCTCGGGAAAAATGTATTCAACATATCTGATTTGTCACCGTAATTGCAGTTGCCTTCTCCTGAATCAGGAAGTTGCTTGCACTTGACATCGTATGACACTGCATGACATCAGACATCAGACTGCACACTTGCTGTACGTTAGCTGCACTGCCTGCCTTGTGGACACTTGGTACAGCTCGACTCTCCAGATCCAGCATAGCTCCCTGGGGGGCATTGCTGACAAGCTTCTGAAGAATAGGACGGCTGGATTTGTCCAACGTCACAAGGACCTTAAATCATCTTAAATCTCCAGCTCACCGAATGCACATAGATTGAATGATTTGAATGGAAGAACCGAAGTTCCAGATCTCTGCGAAATCTTTGCGGCAAGGCCTGCTATGTCTGTGAAACTGCTAGTTTTGGATTTCCTAAGGCTGGGGCGACAAATGGCAGTGTCGGAGATCTGAAAGGAGAAACGTCCAGGTGGACAGGCGCGGCACTCGATGGACGCATCTGCAGCTTCGATGTCGTTCAGCCATTCGGAGGACGAGGCCTGGCCGGCAAAGCGAGGAAGGCCAGCAAGACACGACAAAAGAATTTCACAAATGTCACTAGATGTAGAAGAACGGCTTTACGGCTAATCATCCTAATCAGCATTAATCGGCTCATTCCTATTGTGAAGAAGTGTGAAAGAAGCTGATTAAGAACACAATTAGTCCTGATCACTGCTGGAAATTGGAGTTTCAAGATGTCATGTCCAAAATGAAAACCTCGGTATATGAATATGGAATCCTTTGCGAATATGCATCTGACCTAACAGGATCAGGCGCTTTCCTAGTTATAAGTTGTCAGCAATCTTGTTGGCTTTGGATATCATCATTTGAAATCAATCTACGCCAGCGCTTCAGGCATGCAAGAAGCACGTCGGTGTTTCGTTCACTGCATTGATCATGAAATTCCATATTCTTTCTGGTGCAAACATATAGCATCTGAAGAAGGAGCTTCTCAGGCTTCAATCCTCTGTATGTTTTCCATATGTCTTTCATCTAACTATGTATGACCGTATGGCTGACATGAAAACACACGTCTTTCAGAAACTTTTACCTTCTTTTGTTCTTCCATGTCATGAAGAAATGCTTAACGGATCGGTCCAAGTCGCTTGATAGAGACCTTGCCCAGGCAAGCAACTGGCCCGCGCAGGGATCCATTCTATCCATCGTGTCGGATTGCTCTGAATCCAGTGGCATGCTCCTTCGAATACATCTCCTGAAATCCACTGACTCGGACTTGCGACTAGCGCGGTGGCTGTAGCATTCTCAAGATCACCTTCTGAAGGGTTTATCTCGGGTCCAATTGGCTGAGATCCATACGACATCATTTCATGGATGTCTTCCAAGCTGAATCGCATGTTGCTCAACAGCAACCGAACATCGGGAGCCAAGCGTTGCAAATCTGTGCTCACAACGGTTCGTGGTTCAACACTGGTGCCATCTCCCATGGGCAAAACCATAACAGCATTTTCCTCGTAGAACGTGACAGCTGGCTCCCAATAGAAGTAGAGGACATCATACATGCTCACCAACTCTTGAAAGTCGGAGCCAATCCAATAACCATCTGCCAATCCAAGGGCGATGGGCCAGTTCAACTGGAAAGCCTCGTGGCACGTGGTGTGCGAAAATTGGATACCCCGGATTTCATTTAAATTGGGCTTGTTGACGTTGTTTGGTGCGAAAATTGCAGTTCTGTGGGGCGTACCCCCTTGACAAACCGGTGGGGCACTCTCTGTGGCTAAGCTGCCGCTTCAGGAGTTAAGCTGCGGCTTCAGCTAAATCTAGTTGTTGTTTCAGGCCCCATCGCTTTCTATCAGCATGTGGCTATCATGTCTGACATGCTTTGGTACAACATCATCAACTTGTGTGCACTTATCTGTCACCTTTGTGTTGATGCCTGACTGCTTGTATTCCACTTATCTGTGACCTTTGAGGTTCTCTGTCTCTTTCTCTCTCTCTCTCTCTTCTTGCTTTGCTACTCAAACAAAAACATGCATAGCAACTGATTAAACAACAAAAACATAAAAAGAAAAAACATGTTGGGCTTGGGATGCTTAAAGCAAGACGCTGTGTACATCAGGGCGAAGGCCTTGTTTGCAAGACCATTGCTGCGTTGTGTGATGAAGGGGATGCATCTACTCGTGTTCTGCTTACATGGTCCAAATCGCCACCAGTAATTGGAGCCCCTGGAGCCACGGAAAGAGGAACACTGCACCACAATTTGCCCGTTGACCATCGACAAACCCAGGTCAGCATCCACAGTGGAAAGAACAAAAAGATCCAACTCGGTATCGGCAAATTTCCATTCGTCACAGGGAATGAGTTTTGTTCCTGACTCAGTTGTAACCTCAGAGATCTCAGAAAAATATTGTTGTAGATTAGACATGGGAAGAAACTGTTGGGACGCATTGTAAGTCCTGTAATCGTCCAAAAAGACCCGATCCAAGGAAGCCTTGGCAGCTGTAGAACCTTTCACGTAAATTCCTGAGCGGATCTGATATCCCAAACTTCCTAAATCTTCCAATAGGCCTCCGATGCGTTCTCTTTGCAAAAAATCAAAATGTCGCTGCAATCCCTGCGTCTCCAAGGTGATGCCAAGTACCACATGCACATGGGTCACTTGGTCAAGACACTTCCAGTCATCTTGCAGGGCATTTGTACCTTCTGTACTTTGATTATCCCAGATCCATTCGCAACCACTCAATGCATATAGGGCATCTCTTGGAGCTGAACTTCCCACATCTTCAAGGACGACTTCAGCGTTGTAACCAAGGACATCTTGCACCAAAATCATGAAAATGGCCGTAGCTGCATCCACTTCATCACTCTCCCTGAGCATATTCCATACTCCAATGGGAAGCACATCCGCCGTGGTGGTCAACCACTTGCGGTCACTGGCATTCCACCCATTTGGTAAACACTTGTCGTTGAAGCGCCAACTTGTACTCACGGTTCCGCCCCAACTTGAGCTTACGCCACTTCCTACACCATTGTGATGCCAACTTGTGTTCACGGCACTTCCGGCACTACCAGCGGAAGTACTCCCAGCATCCGAAGAGTTCTTCTCCGCAGTAGCATTTTGTACCTTGCACAGGATGGCAGGAGTTTTAACGTGTGAAAGGATCCCGTGGGCATGGGGGAACTGGCATGCACCCTGAAGGCCCTCGTATGTATCAATGAATGTATAATTCCACCACTTTACATCAATAATTGCTTTACTTCGTGTGATCCCACCATGACATTTATCGATTTGTTACTGGCAAATTTTCTGGCATTCTATCTGACGCATCTTCTGGCATTCGATTTGGCATTCTATCTGGCATATCTTCTGGCATTCTACCTGGCGTATCTTCTGGCATATGTTCTGGCATATCTTCTGGCATTCTATCTGGCATATCTTCTGACATCCTATCTGGCATTCTATCTGGCAAATCTTCTGGCATTCTATCTGGCAAACGTTCTGGCACTTTATCTGGCATTCTATCTGGCATACCTTCTGGCATTCTATCTGGCATATCTTCTGGCACTCTATCTGGCATATCTTATGGCATTTTATCTGGCAAATCTTCTGGCATTCTATCTGACATTCTATCTGGCATATCTTCTGGCATTCTATCTGGCCGTTGAGGTCCAGCGGTGTGCACTGAGCTGGGAAGGTTTCAGGTTGAGGTCCAGCGGTGCGCACTGAGCTCGGAAGGTCCCAGGTTGAGGTCCAGCGGTGCGCACTGAGCTCGGAAGGTCCCAGGTTGAGGTCCAGCGGTGCGCACTGAGCTGGGAAGGCCCCAGGTTGAGGTCCAGCGGTGCGCACTGAGCTCGGAAGGTCCCAGGTTGAGGTCCAGCAGTGCGCACTGAGCTGGGAAGGTCCCAGGTTGAGGTCCAGCAGTGCGCACTGAGCTGGGAAGTTGGCGAGGGGCTTGGCGAAGAGTTGGCAAGGCGGAAGTTGAGGTGGAAGTTGATGCAGACATGGTCGAGGAGAAACTGGAAGCGGAGGAGGAGGAGAAGGAGGATGAGGAGAACAGCTCTGATAAAATCTAACAACCCTCACCTGGCAGGTGGGGAAAAACATCTAGGGGTCCAGGGAAATGACCCTTCCCTTTCGTTGTGGGAAACAAGTCGCAGATTAGTCAGATACTACCCAAAAAAAACTAACTTGTAAATATCTGGGAGCTCCAGGAACTTCCAATGGGAATTCACAAACACGTCAATGCTTGATGTCCCTTCGTGTTAGGCGATGGTGCCCCTGTAGCTCCAAGTCTGTATTGTCACATTTTCAAACCAATTCAAACGGTTGTTCCCCACACCGTATCCAATTGCCCCGGTCCAGCCCTTCTCCAGCGCTGGGGTCGACCCAAACAGGATCAAGAGGCAAATTGGGTCACAATCGCTGTCCAAGACAATATACGCCATGCCCAGCTCATTTCCCAGCATGCAAAGCACTATTCTGTTTTTTTACTGTCAGGTGTTGTTCGGGCCCCCCTGTTGTGCGACTTGCTCAAAGCATCGGGTTCTGGTTTGTGAGGGCATCTGTTTACGTGGCATCTAGTTGGGCATAGTGTGAGACGAGCCAAGTTTGCAAAACAGCGCATACTGCATGGGTACCAGTTGGGCAGCCCTGAGAATTCAGGCTGTGCATCTCATGAGTTTTTTTTTTGTTCTTCAACATTTGTGCCGTTGTGACTGCCATCTTCCAGGCCCTTGAGTCAAACTGCTGCCATTTCATGAGTCTTGTTCACGCCTGTCAATATCATTTAAGTCCCCGCGTTACATCACAAACAAAACTAAGTGCAAGTATGGATTTTCCAGCACCACTAAGTTCTTTCTAACAAAGCATCTGCCATGACTTTCTGCCAGCAAGAGCAACAATGGACTTAGGGTGAGTTAGTTGTCTTGAAAATCAGAAACTAAGGTGGCAAATCTCTGTGAAACTGCAGGATGACAATTAACATGCTGAAAATCATGACCGATTGGAAAGCCAATGATGACAGCGAAAACAATAATGATTACCCTTGTCAAAAGCAGGGCTCGATCAAACGACAAATTGCAGTCAAAATGTATCAAGGCAGGTTTCTTGACAGTTCCTTTAATTTTGGAAGGAGCACACACACACACAAAAAAAAATAGAGCGGGGGACTGTGAGAGTGCGTTTTTTGTTAGTTTACAGTATGTTGTTGGTGCTAATTCTTCATACACATCATCTTGCCTGATGTCTCTGTCAAGATGTTCATCCAAAGAAGATGCCGCCACCAGCCAAAAAATCTGTAAACAAATACAAATCGTCGGTGGAGGGGAAACGGTTTTGATAGATTACTACACCCCAGTAAGCCAAACCATTTTGAAACAGCTGCAAATGCAACCCTTTAAGCACCCATGCACATTATGAGGCATTTATCTATCAAATACAGTGTTGCCTTGGCAAACATCTTCATTTCAAAATAGACATTTTTCGCCAAAAAAACCTGTACACAGAGAAGTTTTTACTCACAGAAGCTTTTACATACAGAAACTTTTACGCAAACAAGCTGCTCTTGTACAGAGAAGTCTTCACCCCTCTTTCATCATGTCTCATTTTTCATGATCATTCACCATCTGTCGCCTTCATATCTTCGTTTTTTTGCTCTTTTGGTCAACTCCCTCCGTCGTTTAGTTTTCATTTCGCACGGTGTTCTGTCCGTCCATGCTTCGTCCTCGCTCCCTCTGCGGCGAAGCAAACAAAACGAGAACCCAGAAATACATAGCGACTAGAAAGATGGGATAAAGTTGATTACATTAGCAGCAATAGCGACTAGAAGAATGTAGACGTAGCTGACACAGCATGCTGTGGTGAATTGTGGCACCTGATGCAATCAGTGCGCACGATGTTTCAGTGAAGATCTTACATCGATTTCGTCCAGAGCACAGCTGCCCACACCACAACATTTTCAAAAAAAGGCGTGCTGTGTGCCGTCTTGCTTTTGGGTTCTCTGGCACACCTTGTTTTTTAGTTTTGCACGCCCCAAGGGAAGGATGCAGAGAGTTGAGTCTTGTCATTTGTTTTTTTCTTGCCAGTCAATACATATGTCAAAACAGAGAATGTGCAAAGAGGAGTGCAAAAAGCACACTCTCACAGTCCCCTGTTCTGAAAAAAATGCTTCGAGTGACCCCCACCGTGACAAAGTTTGTCATCGCTTCCGACATCTCATCTGGAAGTTTGTATGGCATATATTTTCAGACATTTTCCCTTGGCATTCTATCTGACATTCTATTCTGACTTTCTGTTCTGGCATACTATCTGGCATCTATTCTAACATCCTATCCGGCATCTATTCTGACACCTCCTCTGGCATTCTATCTGGCATTATTTCTGGTACCCTACCTGGCATCTATTCTAGCATTCTCTCTGGTGCCTTTTCTGGCATTCTATTTGGCATTCTACCTGACATTCTATTTTGGCATTCTATCTGGCATCTAATCTGACATTCTATTCTGCCATTCTATCTATCTGGCATTCCGGCATTTATTTTGGCATTCTTTCTGGCATTCCATCTGACATTCTATCCTGAAACTCCCACAGAGACCTCGCGCTCGCGGTTGAGGTCCGGCAGTGCCCACTGAGATCTGGAGCTCACGGTTGAAGCCCGGCACTGCCCACTGAGATCTGGAGCTTACGGTTGAGACCCGGCAGTGCCCACTGAGATCTGGAGCTCGCAGTTGAGGCCCGGCAGCGCCCACTGAAATCTGGAGCTTGCAGTTGAGGCCCGGCCGTGCCCACTGAGATCTGGAGCTCGCACTTGCGGAAGAAGGAGGAGGAAGGAGGGAAGTAACTCGGACGAAATCTAGAGACCCTCATGGCAGTGGTGAAAAAAGCAACGGTAACTCTGTTTTCAAACTACAATGGAATGCATCCAGCGATATCAACAGAAAAAGGCTGCTCCTCCCATCCTTTCTCCAGCAAAAGCATCGAGTTTGTGCCCTCGCACTGTTACCCGATTAAAGGCGGGCGGACAATGCTGACGCGAAAATAGCCTGTGGCATTCAAGCAACCATTCTGACTAAGTCATCACGGCCAAGAAAATGCCAAACAGAGCGCTGGTAAGGCAGAATCTATCACAAATCCTTTCAGGAAGAGGATAGGCTTCTTGAAAAGCAGCGCTCTCGAAGTACAAATCTGTGGCCATCTGTGGCGCTCTACGGTGAGCTATTGCTGATGCTAGCAACCTTCAGGTCAGTGGCTCCGTTCTTTCCTGCAATCGCCTGAATCACCGGTGTTTTTCCTGCTTCCGGCGTCTTAGCCTTTACCTCCAGTGCAAGCTGCGCATCCAAAAACATGCAAAAACATGGAAAACATGGAGCAGATTCAGATGGTTCAGAAGGAAATTCAAGCTGGCCCAGTTAAGCCCACTCAGGAACTAATTGGCTTGTTGATGCTTGTTGCCTGTTTGCCCGTGGATTGATTGCCTTGCGTTAGACATGAACTTAGCTGATCATTTGAGTCCCAGTAACCTTCCCGGCAAGCCCATAGATGCGAACGAGGATGACTACCAGGCAAGCAAGCAAGAAGGCGCAAAGGTTGAACACGGAAGAGCCAGCCGCAATCTGACCCAAGAAGATGACGATCACTGCAAGAGCCTCTCATCAAGGATCTGTCAAGGGATCACTCTACCCATGAAGGTCACTATACCCGCTAAGCACATTTTGATGAACGTTGACTGTTCAAATTGACATACTTAACACTAGAATCACTCAAAAGCCACGGCCTCACCAACATTCTTCTGGATACCATCCAAGGACTTCAACAGGTAGAGAGTGATCAAAGACTTGGAGGTGAAGGACAGGGTCACGATCCAGGTTGCCAGGGTCCAGTGGTCAAAGAATCCAGCAGCGCTCACGTGGTAAGATGGTTGCACTCCCGGTTCCATGACAGCAGCAATGGCGATCGAGGCAATGACACGGGACAAGGACATCAAGGACAGCTTGGCAGACATGGACATGTTGCTGAAGCCCTTCAACTTGGCATCGGAAAGCACCGCAGCATAGCAAGAGACACCCACCTTGAACAGCACCATGGCCTCAATTTGTACCCCAAAGCTGCTAGCCAACAGCACTTTCTCTGACCCTTCGGAGCCTTTGGAGTCTTCCGAGTCTCTTCGCAGCTGTGATGTACGAAAAGCATCAAAAAACAAAAAGGAATCCTACTACTGGAAAGCAAACGGGTACTAATACCAAAGAAAACTGCACAGCAGTGTGGAGGCACAATCACCCTGAAGCAAACAGAAGCCACAGCTAAGTGACTTCAGCACTGCTTGATTGATTTTGATCACGCAACTTCACCGCTGTACACATCCTACTGCTAAGGCCGTGGCCACTCCCATCAAAGGGATGCCCGCATCATCAGAACTGCCCGAATCCACCATGACAAACGCACTGATGGCCAAGGTTGCTGCAACCAACACACTCCACTGCAGATCGCCTGAACGAATTGCAGATCATGTCAGAATCCTATCCAGAAGTGCTTCTAAGTTTTGAAAAACAACGCTTCAAATTCCTACCATTTTCAAACCCGTGTTTAGGAATCCAAACAAGTGGCTCTGCATGGTGCCCTTCAGGTACATCACCATGACAGCAGTGATCAAAAGCTTTGACTGCAACAAGAGTTGGTACACTCCACCCTTCATAGCACCCATGGACAGCATCTCCAAGAAGTCGCCAAAGGCATACCACAAACCAATGACGATGAAGATGGAAGCACCTTTTGGAATCGCCCAGCAAGCCTTCACACCCTTCATGCCTTCCTCTTGCCAAGCCAGGAAGTTCACGAAAACCATGGAGAGGAGCTGGCTCATGATTGCCGGGGAGTTCTTGGAGTACAGCATCTTCCCATCGACCTTGGAGTAGTCAATGACCATGGGGTGCAATGCACGAGACAGCACGAAGACAATGAAGATGCCCATGGTTCCCTTTGCCGCTTCACCAGCCATGATGCCACAACAACTGGACAAAAATCACTTTGCCGCGAAGATTCGAGCCACAACTTAGTCAACGATGATGCGATGCTATGTGCTGCAATGTAATTCTTTGTGGTTCCAGACGTCCAGGCATCATCAGGCATCTTTCAATGGTCATCACATGCACCGCAACTCGGTCAGTATGGCTTTTGCCAGTATGGTTCCGTGGGAAGATTTCAGGCACCATTTAAAACACTTAGTGTTCTAGGATCAGCATCGCTTGTTGTTGAGGCTGAAGCTTGTGGTTGCAAGAGATCTGCATGGAAAGTGTGTTCTAAACCGTCCAGGCTTTGGTTCAGAGCTGGTTTTGGATAGTTTTGGTGCATCAAACGAAAGCAACATACCCAATTCCAGACACATGCACAAGCAATGATTCTGCATGATGTCTAATTCCTTTTTCTTTTCAAAATTCCGGAGTTTTAGCATCCACATCTTTGGGATGTCTGTGAAACGATCCTAAGGATCCAAGGAGTTCTAAGGTGATTCTATAGTGAGTCGGCGGAACTGGATTGGAACATTATCTTGCGCGTAGGGCTACCAGGATCGCCAGTGCCATCTGCATCTTTGCTAAGAAGCTCCATAGTTCGAAGCCTCAAAGCGACAGTTTTCTTCTTCACTTTGAAGAAGTCCGCGTTCATCATGTTCACAGCATCGGGTTCGGAACAGTCTTTGTTGATTTGACTCGAAAGAATCTCTTCTTTCATCACCTTCACACGAAAATTCCTCCAGGCTGTTTTGCTGAATCCACCCAAGTCACCATGGTCACCCAAGTCGCCAAAGAAACCGTCCGTACGAGAAAACCTGCCATAGACGGATTTCAAGAGTTTTGCCTCAGAGGCTTTGGATATCTTAGAGTCCACCGTGGTAAAACTGTTTAAGGTCGACTTGGACGCAACATTAGACAGCAAAGGAAGTCGATGGAGTGGTCGATGTCGACTTCGTGCCAACTGCTCCAAACGTGGAGAAATCCGAGGCGGCTTCATTTTTTTCACCGGTTGTGCCACTTGTGCCTTTGACATCCTCATCGACTGACGCATGGAGGATTGACGCTTCTCGCGTTCCTTCCGCAGCGGCGTAGACGGTGGAGCAGATTCCCAAAGATCCAAAAAGGCCACTTCATTCAAGGAAACAGAGCCCTGTCCATCACAGTCCAAGGTGGAAAACAAGGCCCGGCAATCACCTTGGAAACCGTAGAACCGCAACCTTAGCGTCACAGAGCTCCTGGGAGCTGGGAGCTCCTGAGCATGTGGTTTAGTTAAAAGTCCTTTAGGGATGCCTCTCTTACTGTTCTCCAGTTGCTGGAACTATATAGTTATCAAAGGAAGTTGGGAAGCAATACTTCCGTGTTACGGACAAATAGAATTCTGCGACTTGAAATGATGCAGGGTGGTAGATCACACAACAATACATGACATAACAATACATAAGAAAAGAATAAGAAGCAGTGGAATTGACTTTGATGAAGGGTGGTGATAATGACGGGTGGTGACGAAGGGAAGTGGTGACGAAGGGAAGTGGTGACGATGGGAAGTGGTGACGAAGGGAAGTGGTGACGATGGGAAGTGGTGACGAAGGGAAGTGGTGACGAAGGGAAGTGGTGACGATGGGAAGTGGTGACGAAGGGAAGTGGTGACAATGGGAAGTGGTGACGAAGGGAAGTGGTGAAGAAGAGAAGTGATGATGAAGGGGAGTGGTGAGGAAGGGAAGTGGTGAGGAAGGGAAGCGGTGACGATGGGAAGTGGTGAGGAAGGGAAGTGGTGAGGAAGGGAAGTGGTGACGAAGGGAAGTGGTGACGATGGGAAGTGGTGACGAAGGGAAGTGGTGAAGAAGGGAAGTGATGATGAAGGGGAGTGGTGAGGAAGGGAAGTGGTGAGGAAGGGAAGTGGTGAGGAAGGGAAGTGGTGATGAAGGGGAGTGGTGATGAAGGGAAGTGGTGAGGAAGGGAAGCTGGAGCACGAAACCCTGTGTTTTTCCGTGTAAAGTGGCTGCAGCCGGCGATGAAAGGTACCTCGTCTGTGCGGCGGTTGCGGCTGGGGTCGTTCCGGACGCGATTGGTTCCTTCTATGTGTTTTGCAACAAGTGCTTGTTCTTGTGTGCGTAGTTCTATGCGTTTCCTGAAGCTGTGGCTGCTGATCGCATTGGAATGGCTGCATGAATGTTGCATGGGCTATGTTTTGGGGAGGAAGCCGGAGCGCGAAACCTTGAGTTTTTCCGTGTAAAGTGGCTGCAGCCGGCGATGAAAGGTACCTTGTCTGTGCGGCGGTTGCGGCTGGGGTCGTTCCGGACGCGATTGGTTCCTTCTATGTGTTTTGCAACAAGTGGTTGTTCCTGTGGTGTAGTTCTATGCGTTTCCTGAAGCTGTGGTTGCAGATCGCATTGTAATGGCTGCATGAATGTCGCATGGGCTATGTTTTGGGGAGGAAGCCGGAGCGCGAAACCTTGTGTTTTTCCGTGTAAAGTGGCTGCAGCCGGCGATGAAAGGTACCTCGTGTGTGCGACGGGTGCGGCTGGGGTCGGTTGGTCGTTTCTTTTTTGCCGCAGTGTCACGGTGGCTTCAAGCTGCTTTGAGTGTGGTTGTGTGTGCGTAGTTATAGGGTGTTTTGGAATCTGTGGTTGCAGATCCCATTGGAATGGCTGCATGATGTTGCATGGGCTATGTTTTGGGGAGGAAGCCGGAGCACGAAACCTTGCGTTTTTCCGTGTAAAGTGGCTGCAGCCGGCGATGAAAGGTACCTCGTGTGTGCGGCGGGTGCGGCTGGGGTCGTTTCTGTCGCGAATTGTTCCTCCTATGTGTTTTGCAACGAGTGGTTGTTCCTGTGTGCGTAGTTCTATCGGGTTCTTGAATCTCTTGGTTGCACATGAATCCGCATGGAAAATTGCTGCATGAATGTTGCATGGGTTATGTTTTGGGGAGGAAGCCGGAGCAACGAACCTTTTTTTTTTTTCCGTGTAAAAAGTGGCTGCAGCCCCGGGCGAGAAAAAGGTACCCTCGCTGGTGATGCGGGTGACGGCTGGGGTCGTCTCATGTGATTGCGCGATTGTTCCTCCTATTGTTTTTCAACTAGTGGTTGTTCCGTGTGCGTAGTTCTATGCGGTTTCTGAAGCCGTGTTTGCAGATCGCAGTTGAAATGGCTGCATGAAATGTTGCATGGGTTATGTTTTTGGGGAGTAAAGCCGAGCACGAACCTTGTGTTTTTCGTGTAAAGTGGCTGCAGGCCGGCGAAGAAAGGTACCTCGTCTTTGCGGCGTTGCGGCTGGGTCGTTTCATCATGCGCGATTGTTTCCTCCTAGGTGTTTTGCACGAGTGGTTGTTCCTGTGTGCGTAGTTCTATGCGTTTCTTGAAGCTGTGGGCTGCGAAACGCATTGTAATGGCTGCATGAATGTTGCATGGGCTATGTTTTGGGGAGGAAGCTGGAGCACGAAACCTTGTGTTTTTCGTGTAAAGTGGCTGCAGCCGGCGATGAAAGGTACCTCGTCTGTGCGACGGGTGCGGCTGGGGTCGTTTCTGTCGCGAATTGTTCCTCCTATGTGTTTTGCAACGAGTGGTTGTTCCTGTGTGTGCTTGTGTTCTTTGGGGGTTTCTTGATCTCTGGTTGCAGGATTGCATTGGAAATGGCCTGCTTCATGTCGTCATTTGATGTTGCCACGTGCGTAGATAGGTGCGGGTTTGCCACGGGATGTTGCGAAACGCATTGTAATGGCTGCATGAATGTTGCATGGGCTTTGTTTTGGGGAGGAAGCCGGAGCACGAAACCTTGTGTTTTTCCGTGTAAAGTGGCTGCAGCCGGCGAAGAAAGGTACCTCGTCTGTGCGGCGGGTGAGGCTGGGGTCGTTTCATGCGCGAATTGTTCCTCCTATGTGTTTTGCAACGAGTGGCTGTTCCTGTGTGCGTAGTTCTATGCGGTTCTTGAATCTCTGGTTGCATGATCGCATTGGAATGGCTGCATGAATGTTGCATGGGTTATGTTTTGGGGAGGAAGCCGGAGCACGAAACCTTGTGTTTTTCCGTGTAAAGTGGCTGCAGCCGGCGAAGAAAGGTACCTCGTCTGTGCGGCGGTTGCGGCTGGGGTCGTTTCATGCGCGAATTGTTCCTCCTATGTGTTTTGCAACGAGTGGTTGTTCCTGTGTGCGTAGTTCTTTGCGGTTCTTGAATCTCTGGTTGCAGATTGCATTGGAATGGCTGCTTCATTGTCGTCCTTTGATGTTGCAATGTGCGTAGATAGGTGCACGTTTGCTACGGGATGCTGCGAAACGCAATGTCATGGCTGCATGAATGTTGCATGGGCTATGTTTTGTGGAGGAAGCCGGAGCACGAAACCTTGTGTTTTTCCGTGTAAAGTGGCTGCAGCCGGCGATGAAAGGTACTTCGTCTGTGCGGCGGTTGCGGCTGGGGTCGTTGCATGCGCGAAGTGTTCCTCCTATGTGTTTTGCAACGAGTGGTTGTTCCTGTGTGCGTAGTTCTTTGCGGTTCTTGAAGGTCTGGTGGCAGATCGCATTGGAATGGCTGCTTCATTGTCGTCATTTGATGTTGCCACATTGTCGTCATTTGATGTTGCCACGTGCGTAGATAGGTTCAGGTTTGCTACGGGATGCTGCGAAACGCATTGTAGTGGCTGCGTCAAGGTTGCTCGGTGCAGCGGCTGCATGCGTAATACTATTGTCTTTTGCAGCTGAAGATCGTAAATCGTATTGGAATGGCTGCATCAAGGCTGCGGCAGCTGAAGATCGTAAATCGTATTGGAATGGTTGCATCAAAGCTGCGTTGAAAGTGAATTGTCAGCAGATTTTCTCAATTTTGGCGCTAATAATTTTCCTTTTAAAATTCCTTTTAAAAAGTGCTTCAAAATCGTCTTTTTGTCGCTTTGGCGTCGAGATACGGTTTTGGAGCTGCAATTTCCGACGCCATTGCACGTAGTTCTATTGTGTTTTGCAACTCAGTCTCTGCAGATCGCATTGTAGTGGCTGCGTTAAGGTTGCTTGGTGCAGCGGCTGCATGCGTAATACTATTGTCTTTTGCAGCTGAAGATCGTAAATCGTATTGGAGTGGCTGCATCCAGGTTGCGATAGTGATTTGTTAGCAGATTTTTTCAACTTTGGCGATAAGAATTTTCTTTTTAAATTTCCTTCTAAAAAGTGAGTCAACATTGTCTTTTTGTCGCTTGGCGTCGAGATCCGGTTTTGGAGCTGCAATTTCCGACGCCATTGCACGTAGTTCTATTGTGTTTTGCAACTCAGTCTCTGCAGATCGCATTGTAGTGGCTGCGTTAAGGTTGCTTGGTGCAGCGGCTGCATGCGTAATACTATTGTCTTTTGCAGCTGAAGATCGTAAATCGTATTGGAATGGCTGCATCAAGGCTGCGAAAGTGATTTGTCAGCAGATTTTCTCAATTTTGGCGCTAATAATTTTCCTTTTAAAATTCCTTTTAAAAAATGCTTCAAAATCGTCTTTTTGTCGCTTTGGCGTCGAGATCCGGTTTTGGAACTGCAATTCCTGTTGTGATTATGTACAAGAAAGCTTCTCTGTGCAAAACTTTTTCTGTAAAAGCTTGCTGTGTGTAAAAGCTTCTCTGTAAAAGCGTCTCTGTGTAAAAGTTTCTGTGTGTGTAAACGCTTGCCATGTGTAAAAGCACTGTGCGTAAGTGTTCTGTGTGTAAACGCTTGCTGTGTGTGAAAGCTTGCTGTGTGTAAAAGCTCCTCTGTGTAAAAGCTTGTTGTGTGTAAAAGCTTCTCTGTTTAAAAAGCTTGCTGTGTGTGTAAACGCTTGCCATGTGTAAAAGCACTGTGTGTAAGTGTTCTGTGTGTAAACGCTTGCTGTGTGTGAAAGCTTGCTGTGTGTAAAAGCTTCTCTGTGAAGAAGCTTGCTGTGTGTGAAAGCTTGCTGTGTAAAGCTTCTCTGTGTAAAAGCTTGTTGTGTGTAAAAGCTTCTCTGTTTAAAAAGCTTGCGGTGTGTGTGTAAACGCTTGCCATGTGTAGAAGCACTGTGTGTAAGTGTTCTGTGTGTAAACGCTTGCTGTGCTTGAAAGCTTGCTGTGTAAAAAAGATTTTGCGTGTAAAAGCTTGCTGTGTGTAAAAGCCTCTCTGTGTGTAAAAGCGTCTCTGTGCAAAAGTTTCTGTGTGTAAACGCTTGCCATGTGTAAAAGCACTGTGTGTAAGTGTTCTGTGTGTAAACGCTTGCTGTGTGTGAAAGCTTCTCTGTGAAGAAGCTTGTTGTGTGTAAAAG